TACTACTACTACTACTACTACTACTACTACTACTACTACTACTACTACTACTACTACTACTACTACTACTACTACTACTACTACTGGTGCTGGTGGTTGTCATCTTATCTTTTGAAAAACAACAAGGACAATGATATTATCACAAAAACACCAGCAACTCTGCAGAGTGGAGTCAACCTGCAGCTATCCCCTTGCTAAGAATTTCTCAACCACCAGCCACTTGTTGTTGTTCTTGTTGGTGATGCCTGGCATCACCACCAGCAGCCACCAGCAGAAGAGGGTATTCTTTTTTGATCTGCAACAACAACAAGAGTTGTCATTGTGTTTTCCCCAAAGAACCAAGAAAGGCCCACCAGACAAACAAATTTAGTAGAAGAAGCGCATAGTATCACCACTTTTACCAAGAAAGCAAAGACTCTGAATCACCAGCATCACATTTTGACAAAACAGCAGCACCACCAGTGCTTCCTTCAGGAGGTTTGGTGCTGTACATAAGAGGACTACTACTAGTAGTACTAGTAGACACACCACCAAGAACTTTGCTACCAGTGAGGAGCCAGCTTCCATTATACTAGTACTACCCCTATTGGTAGTCTGACTCCTCCCTCCTATCTGTCATCATACTTCTTGTATCTCTTTGCATTTAAAACAAGAATTGAGAACATATTCCCAGAAAGGTGATGAGAATTCAAAGTAATAATGATGCTCAAGAAGATATAGTAGTAGTAGAAGCTACTACTAGTACTACAACTAGCTAGTATTCATTACCATGATCCTCATGAGGAATCAAAGGATGAGGAGAGGATTTCAAGAAGAATGGTCACCACCACCAGCAAGAAGAAGAAGAACACCACCACCAACAACAACAAGAACCAGCAATAGCAGTACTAATAGTAGTACTAGAAGTAGCAGTACTAGAATTTGATGCTGCTGCTCACTCCTAGTGCTGCTACTACTAGTAGTACTAGCTTGTAGTAATACTAGTAGTATCTACTGTTGTCCGTAGGATATCAGACCGTGGGTATGATTCATACATACGACACGTACATACGATACGTAT